GATCACACATTTACTCAGCTGGCTTCCTGAGTGATGGAATATGTCCCTCCTCCACAGCTGTCACTGGAAGGATGGGAGAGGCTGCCATGAGCTTTGTCCAGCCTTGACTGTCTCCACCTCCCCTAGTACAAATGGTACCACAGCCCCTACTAAGCCCTCCAGGTGCACAGCCTCTTGTTGCTTAGCAACGATGCCTCATCCCCACACCTTGGCCACCTCCTCAAGAGCTCTAGTAGCAGCCACAGCATGCAGAGCCAAGCTGGACCTTCAGGAGCTGCCACTGCTGCTGACGGGAGCATGTGGGAACAAGCCCCAAAATAGGACTGTGTGTGAAACCCAAGGCTCTTTTTAACACTTGGGCCCACACTGTCTCTGGGAAAGTCCTGCCCGCTCCCTGTTCTGGGCTCCTGCCGGGTTTCTGGTTCACCTCCCACGCTGGACATCTCCCTCTACTTCTGGGCTCTCAGGTGTCTGCCCCTCTCTCTGCCCTAGGTCTCTGGATCCCTGGCTCATGTGTAACTTTTGTTGCTCATTGTCCTTTTATCCATCCTGGAACCCCACGTGTGTGTCTCTGGTCTCTGCGGCTGTTCCAGCCTCTGTTGCACCTCTTCCCACTTAGACTATGTAACTCTCAGGTTCCCCTTGGCTGACATGAATCACTTTACTCCCCACCGCCAAGGGCAGACACTGTGATAACCCCACATTGCCTGAGTAACCATGACTATACCCCCTGGTTACCACCTAACTAGGAAAGGCCTTTGATGTGGGGGGGGGGGTCACATAGAGATGGCTGCTTTTCTCATTTAGCCTGCCCTGGGCTTCTGCATCATTGGAAACGAACAGTGAATGTTGGGCCAACTCGAAGGGACTAGGCCCAAAAAAGAAAGATCTTCCTCCTGCTTTCCTTCTTTACCTCCAGCTACAATGTCAGAGTTCCCAACAGAAGCAGTGAAGGCTCAGTGCCTGCACAGCCAGGAACTGCCCTGCTCAGAGAGGGCTCTCTGCACCCCTAACCCCATCCTGCAACAACGTCATTCAGGAACATGGCATCCATCTCTCTGTCTCTATGTGACCTGACTGTCCATTGCCCTCTGCCACCCCACCTCCCTCAGGGTCTGATGCTTGGGTCTCACAGTGTTATCCAGAGCTTAGAAAGCCAGACTAGGAAGCAGGTCTGTAAAGGGGTATGAGGTGGAGTGGAGGGACTCTGAAAGGAGAGTGTGAGGGAGCTTTAGGGAGGGGAGGCTTGGATTCCCTCTTCTAGCAGAGGAAGCAGGCAAACAGCAGAAGGAACTTTCAGGCGGGAGGCCGGACCAAGTGATCTCACCCAAACCCTGTGGTTTGCTGCTATTGCAACCTGGCCAGGCTCCCAGCTCTCTTGGGTCCCCAAGTAGGAGAGCTTTTTATAGTTCACTCCCCAACTTGGGTTTGAATAATTAAACAAGATGGACAGAAATAGCAGCCGGACAGCAAAGGGAAGTTATTTTGGGGTTTTCTGGAACACAGTGCTCCTAGGTGTCACCCCATCCACACAGGGGGTGGAGCCAGCATCAAGGCTGATGGGTGATTCCTGTGGGGGAAGACCCCACCCCCATTCCCCAGGGTTCCTTGTGTTGACAAGGTTGCTCTCAGCCAGAGGAGGGTCTTATCACTTCTTCTTCTTCTTCAGGAAAGAGAGGGCTCTCTCTGCCTTTGGTCATAACTGCTCCCCTGGCAGGGAGTCCATTCCTAGTCTGTCAGGCCTTCTACTTCAGAGATGGTGACAGATACTTAAACTCAGATCTAGCAGCTGCAAGACAGGCTGAACCAGGACCAGGAGGCTACTGCTCCTCTGGCCAAGGAGCTAGAATCAAGAGACAGCAGGTCTTGTCCCTCCCCTCCACTATAACCACTGGGAAGCCCTGGGGGGAATGAAGTTTGGGGTGAGGAGTGGGAATTGGAGCCAGGAAGAGCAGAGGAATTGGTAGGGGGGAGAACAAGGCTCCAGAGAAGAGAAGGCTGAAGATGAGTTAGCTGTCCTCACCCAACTCCCTTCTAGTGCTCTCTGTTCCTGGTAGAAGCAGAAGCCCCACCTAGGTTTCTTGGGACAGGGTTTCAATAGCTGAGCGGGGGATGGAAAGAGGTCAGGCACCCCCACCCCTGATGGGTGTCCATCCATCGCAGTCTAATCTTTTGTGCCTGGTTTGCAGAATGTGGCTTTTGGCTCAACTGCACAAATTAACTTCAACTCTACTTTAAAATTCTACCACAGAGCTTTTTTTTTTTTTTTTTTTTTTTTGGAGACAGAGCCTCAAGCTGTCGCCCTGGGTAGAGGGCTGTGGCATCACAGCTCACAGCAACCTCCAACTCCTAGGCTCAAGTGAGTCTCCTGCCTCAGCCTCCCAAGTAGCCAGGAGCACAGGCACCCACCACAACACTCAGCTATTTTTTAGTTGCAGCTGTCATTATTTGGCGGGCCTGGGCTGGATTCGAACCTACCACCTTAGGTGTATGTGGCTGGAGCCTTAGCCACTTGAGCCACAGGCGCCAAGCCTACCACAGAGCTTTTAAAGTTGAGGCATGGGAGGGAAGAAATGGAAGCAGTAAGGTGGTGGGGGTATTTGTAACGTCTTCTCCCTTTGGATAACTTCCGGGGTGGGTGTGGAAGTTAAACTCCACTAAACATGGGGCAGTGTCTGTGGCTCAAAGGAGTAGGGCGCTGGCTCCATATGCCAGAGGTGGTGGGTTCAAACCCAGCCCTGGCCAAAAACTGCAAAAAAAAAAAAAAAAATTCCACTAAACACTAAAATCATTCACTTTTTTTTTTTGAGACAGAGCCTCAAGCTGTCACCCTGGGTAGAGTGCTGTAGCATCACAGCTCACAGCAACCTCCAACTCCTGGGCTCAAGCGAGTCTCCTGCCTCCACTTCCCAAGTAGCTGGGATTACAGGCGCCCACCACAACGCCCAGCCATTTTCTGGTTGCAGCTGTCATTGTTGTTTGGCAGGCCGGGCTGGATTCAAACCCGCCAGCTCAGGTGTATATGGCTGACACCTTAGCCGCTTAAGCCACAGGTGCTGAGCCTTTTTTTTTTTTTAAGAGATGCAGTCTCTGCTATGTTACTCAGGCTGGTCTTGAACTCCTTAACTCAAGTGATCCTCCCATGTCAGCCTTCCAAAGTGCTAGGAATACAAGGCTAAGATAATTGCACCCAGCCTCATTCAACAAACACTTTGAGCCAGAACAAGGTGGCTCATAGCTGTAATTCTAGCACTCTGGGATGCTGATCGGGGTGGATCACTTGAGCTCATGATTCAAGACCAGCCTGAGCAAGACCAAGACCCCATCTCTAAAAACAGAGGTGTTGTGGCTGGCGCCTATAGTCCCACCTAGGTGGAACTACTCAGAAGGCTGAGGAAAGAGGATTGCTTGAGCCCAAGAGTTTGAAGTTGCTGTGAGCTATGATGCTACAGCATTTTACAGAGGGTGACAAACTGAAACTCTGTCTCAAAAAAAAAAAACAAACTACTTTTAAGGCACCAATTAATTATAAGTCTTATATTGTCCTTGGTGCTGAGAATGAATTAGTATGGCAAGGTCCTTGTTTTCAAGAACCTCAGTTTACTGGGGGAGAGAGCCCTCAATTAAAACCAGTTCTCCAGTTATCAAGTGCTTACTGGGCAGCAGGTACCCTACTAGAGCTTCACAGAAAATTGTCCCATTTCGTCCTCATAGCATGTCTAGGTCTAAGGAGCACTGGCCCTACAGGACAGATATTAGAACTAAGATGAAGACACTTGTCCAATATCACTCAACTAGTAAACAGTATTAATGGAACTGGAACCAAAATTTATATGATCCCAAGTTCTGTTCTATACTCTTAACCATTGTACCTGTGGTCTCTGGTGGATGGAAAAGAGAGACAAGTCCATAAAATGCTGTTAGTGTGGGCAGCACCTGTGGCTCAAAGGAGAAGAGTGCTGGCCCCATATGCTGGAGATGGCGGGTTCAAACCCAGCCCCAGCCAAAAACTGCAACAAAAAAAAAAA